GCGGTTTTTGGGGACAAACTTTTTACAGAAAGCAGCGCATCTTCCACACTTCCTCCTGAAATTTCCTGCTCTTTTTTAGCCTCATCTTTGCTGCTAGAGGAAGTAGCAGATCCGGCCTGTAATTCTAGCACCAAGCATGATCATCAAGAATAGCTCTTCACGACATTTTGGTCAAGTTAGGAAGTGTTGAAATATCTAATTTAAATTACATGATTTATTGTCTTTCCTGTTAAAATTTATAATAGAAAATAATTTATTCCTAGAAAAAGTTATTAGGAATAAACTCTTTCCTTAATATAAGGAGATATTTTGTTTTCATATATTTGGAATTATTTGTTTTACTATTTTATGTTATTTCCTAGTATCTCCTAATAATTAATATGAATTAATTATTGGAGATATTGGGTGATATATCTTTTTTTTTATTATTATTTTTCTTATTATAAGATTCTTGTAAGGGTTATTTATAAACCTCGTTCATATCAATCAAATTAAATGATTCCTAAGTATTATGCATTATTCTAAATTACAATATGGTATCAGAGTCTAATTTCGTACTCTAGCCACCGACCCTCCTTTGAGAACCCTCCTTTGAGAATTGCCCTCCTTTGAGAATTGTCGGACTCCCTTCCTGTCATCCTCTGTGCAGAAAGGGAGGGGAATAACGATTTTTTCTCCAGACCCCTTCAACGTTGTTCTATGTCGGTTTCGCCGAGACTTGCTGTGAGCGCATCAACTTCACCCATAACGGCATCTCCGCCTGTGCAGCTGATTTCGATGATGACCTCGATCCTAATCTTCTTCCCAAGCGATTCGAAAGCTCTATTGCGCTCGCGGAATCCATTCCTATTTCGGATTTCAGGGGCGGCCGCTTGCCGAACATCTGGCCGTCAAGTACGGAAGACCTCCGGGCACACTTATTGTTCCCCGTACACCGTTCTATCCGGCTACGAGACTATCTCTATCATTTCTTGCTGGTATGAATATAAAACGGAGTGGGGAGATCTGGTGAGATGGATCTACGACTTCGTGTGCTCCGATCAAACTCATCTATCGCCTCCACCAAGTACTCCGATGGGCCATCGGATCGGTCGAGATCTTCTTCTCCAGCAACAATGCTCCCATCGCCACTCGTCGCCTGCAGATTCCTCTAGCTTTCCGATTCCACAGGTTCCTTCCTTTTTTCACATCGGGGTTCCTTCCTATTTTCGTAGGCCAGGAATGGAAAGCGTGTTCCAATTTCCGCAACAGTAAGAGGAAATCCAGGGAATATTCCTATAGTAGAAATCAAGATTCCCTCCCAATTACCGCCTCCTTCCCTTTCTCCGGTTAGCTTCCAGCAGCTACCTTCAGAAATTTTGGCCACCTCGTAGAGGAAAGGGAATTGCCTCCTCCAAGCTTCACGCAGCTTTTCTGGATCTCCAACGTCTCCTTGTTCCGATCACAAAACTGATGGCATGAGGATGTGAATCGGCTTCTCCTTGTTGTATGCAGAGCTGCAGCAGTCTTCTACGTCTTCCTCTCCAAATTACACTGAAGAAAATCCACCGTCCCTCATATACATTTCGGGATGGCTCTCCTCCGATCATATTCTAATGCTTCCTCTGGGATGGGAGTTGTTGATCACTGTCGGGACACATTCTTAGACTACAAAGAAAGATAACACATCGATATGTGATTTTCAAAATTCACGAGAAGCGAAAGGAGATGGTTGTGGAGAAGACTGGAGGTGTTGCTGAGAGCTACGACGATTTCTTGGCAAGCCTACCTGAAAATAATTGTTGATATGCCGTCTATGATTTTGATTTTGTGATGCAGGAAAACTGCCAGAAGAGCAAGATTTTCTTCATTGCTTGGTCTCCATCTGTTTCTTGAATTCGAGCCAAGATGTTGTACGCAACGATGAAGTAACGATTCAGGTGAGAGATGGATGGAGTTCACTATGAGATTCAAGACCTTCCGAGCTCGACATTGTGGTACTAAGAGATCGAGCAAATTAAACAGTCTCTGCTCTTTTTGGTCCATATTGAATTTGCAAAAACACATTTACAATGGTTGTTGTGGTATACTGCTTTGAATATATTGCTACATGGACATGCTTCATGATCTCCTCCACCTTCATTATCTATATCCAGAGCAATGTGAGCTGGACACTAGGCCTGGCTATCCCTGTCATCATGATGCTCATCTCCAGCATCTTCTTCTTCCTCGGCAGCAGATTCGGTTCATCCCGATCATCCCACCTTTGATTATTCCCTTTTTCCTTCAAAGCCGGATTCGACATCAGCATCAAGATCATTTCAAGCAAATTTAGTGAACTCGCGAGGGCGGCACCAGCGATGCCGCCACACACCTCATCATCATCTCGTCGGAGATATCGTTGTCATGGATCGGACAAGCCGTCAATTTCTCCTACAGTATCTTTTCTTCCCTGCCCACAGGTCAAGGGGAGCTGCATTTCCAACCGGACCTTCTCCAAACAGCCATCATAATAGAAGACCTCTCTACATTCTTCTCTGCATACGGCAATTCCTGTAGCTTCTGTTCCACCTCGCTTTTTCCCTATGCAGGCGCCACCAGTCGTCGGAGTCAATTTCTGCAGCCATTATTGTGCCTCAATTTTTCCCTGCGTAGGTGTCTGGTTCACTACACCATTGCGATTTCAGCGGTTTTTCCTGTGCAGGCATTTGGGCAACTGCAGGCTTGCATTTTCAGCAAATAGCGGACATTTTTTCTCTTTCTAGTAGAAATATTGGTTCGCCAATGAGATTTGTTTTTTCTAACCAGTGCAAATCACAGAAGATCTCTAGTCGAAATCTCAATTTTCACTCTCTAGTAGAAATCGTTGTCCCCCGCAGAACCGCACAGAGCACTGGCTTCCTTGCAGGCTCTCCCATGGTCATTTTCCCTTTAGTCGCAGATCCTTCCTGTAGGATCTTCCAACCGTCGGACCACCCGATTTCTTTCCAGAACCGTCGAAGCACCTACCTACAGCGGGACCTATCCTGCCACTGGAACTCCCTCCTGTAGTCCTTCCTGTCGGTGAAATTCCCTCATGCGGTCATTCCTCTGCTGCAGAACTTCTCGCGGACATATCTGTTGCCGACTGGACCTTCAGGCTTACTCCTGTAGCCGGTTCTCTCCCCTACAACATTTCCCGCCGTCTGACCTCCCTCATGCAGTTTTTCTCGCCGTCAGATCTACCTCAACAAATTTTTCCCTGCTGATTTTGACCAGCTCTTCCCAAGGAAAGAACTGTTCTTTCCTGCAGCATTATTGCAGCCTTTTCCAAGCACTACAGCTTTCCTGAGCACTGTCGTTAGCCCTCTGCAGCCTCATTGCAGCTTTCCTGAGCACTGTCGTTGGCCCTCTGCAGCCTCATTGCAGCTTTCCCGCAACCTTCCTGCAACCTTCTTGCAGCTTTCATGCAATTATCAGTCAACCAGTGACTTACAAATTCATCAACGTGTCGAAATTGAGCTTAGCCCTAAGCTTAGCCCTCGTCCATGCCACTCTAAGGCTTCGACACTCTCAAGTTTCGACATTCTCGGCTTCGGAGCTCTCAGGCTTCGGCGCTCTCAGGCTTCAGTGCTCTCAGGCTTCAGCGCTCTCAGGCTTCAACATTATGGGCTTTGGTACTTACGATATGATGATTGTTGGAATTTTTTGACAATTTGATGCTACCTGTCCAGTCAGCATATCGCAGCCGATGTTTTCAAATTCAAGTTGAACATGGTTTTCAACTATGTTCAACTTGAGGGAGAGTGTTGAAATATCTAATTTAAATTACATGATTTACTGTCTTTTCTGTTAAGACTTATAATAAGAAATAATTTATTCCTAGAAAAAATTATAAGGAATAATTTTTTTTCTTAATATAATGAGATTTTTTTTTTCATATATTAGGAATTATTTGTTTTCCTATTTTATATTATTTCCTAGCATCTCCTAATAATTAATATGAATTAATTATTGGAGATATCAGGTGATATATCTTTTTTTTTTTTTCTATTATAGGATTTTTGTAAGGATTATTTATAACCCTGTTCATATCAATGAAATTAAGTGATTTCAAAGTATTCCGCATTATTTTAAATTACAATAGAAAGATTGTTAATTCAAATGTTTGAGGCACGAATACTTTATGGGTGATCCCTTTACATCAGATAAGGTGTTCTTTGGTTCTTTTAATTTATATAAAGGACTGAGAAAATTGGAAGCAAAGAAAATAAATGTAACTCAAGAATTATAGTGTGATGCGATAGCTTCAAGCTTGTCAAAAAAATATGCAATGTCATTTTGGGATGGAATTTCTAATTGCAGTTAATGTTACTATCATCTTTTTTTTTCTTTTAGCTTTTAAGAAGTGTTGTGCCAGAAAATTTAAGACGGTGGGATGCAGATAGGGGTGCAAACAAATCTAACATGAGCAAGCCACAGCTCAGCCCGTATTCGGCTCATTAAAAAAATATCATTGTTCATTTTAGACTTATTTATATTTTAAATAAAAAAAATATGTTTATGTTCGGCTTGTTTGCTTAACAAGCCGAACACGAGCTATTCGTGAACAAAGAGTTGTTTTGACAACCCTAGTCACTCAACCGTATGATTTTAAGGGTTGAGGCGGGATTTAAATCTTATTATGAATATTATAATATCATTTCAATATAATTTAATGTATTTTTATTCTATTTTTTAAATCATAAACCTCTTGAAAACCTCTTCAATCATAATTCTAGCCAATTTTGAAATCAGCTTTTTAATAGGAACAAAAATTATTAAATTCTTTCGGGCGCTCACATTAGTTTTAGATATTCTATTAAGTTTTGTAATTGTTAAAATTGAATTCAGAATATTAAAAATGGTGAAATAGATAAGTTGCGGCTTAGGCTAGGATGGGCTATCGCTATTGTCGTCGGCAGATATGCACTGTGCGTGCACGCATACAGCTGAGCGCGTGAACTCGCCTGGCAAGGCTGACAGGCGCACGCAAGCACCGTGCAAATGCACACAGGCGTGAGCATGTAGGGGCGCTCAGGCGCTATTGTCTGTTGTGCGAGGATTGCTACAAAAACTTTGGATTTTTATATCGGGCAATGTAAAGTCATATTTCACTGATCATGTATGGGAGAGGGCACGTGATAAACTCATGTACTTTCATAAGAATTTTAATATGAATGATTATTTTGTAGGAATTTAAAATGGAATAATCATGTATATTAATGAAAATTTGAAGAGGAAATGTGTTCTTTTATTTAATTACATTAATACTATCAAAATTTTATGAAAATAATTTAAAATTATCAAGAATATTATGAGAAAGATTTATATCTCCTATTTTTCTCTTGAAGTATAAATATTCCTTAAAAGTGAGAAAAAAATATCATCCCATGTTCTCCCTTTCTCGACTCCACTTCCATCTCTTAAAACAGAATAAACATTATATATGATGTAATGACACAAATATTATTAAAGGTCTCCGTTTATCGACTTATTTAAAAAAAAGCAAAGGTATACCTAGAAAGACATGTGCATGTTGTAGAAAAAATTATCATAATTTATTAGAATTAAATGAAAACACAACACTCAATATGACACAATAGAGAAAAAGGAATCATGTAACCGATCCCACTTAGTAGGATAAAGGTATTTTGTTGTTGTTGTTGTTGTAGCCTTTGTTTGTCAGTCAAATTGACGGTTAGGTTTGTGGTCATGAGTTAAGTTAAACTGAAGTTCGATGTCGAGCTCTTGGATAAAGTACTCCAAAAATTACTCATGAAGAGGGGATGTTGATTAGATACAATAGTTTTTGGAATGTCATGAATGTTGTGAAGTTGGTAAATATCGATTGCGAAGTGAGTTGGTTGGTTGGAAAAACGATGTATTGATAAGGTGGTTGACAACAACCAAGATTGACAACTTCCTATTCGCTGGTGGTGGACAAACAATAAAGTCCATTGTAGTATTTTCATTAGAGCTCAATATAGGTAGAGGTTGGATAAGTGCAATCAAGGAAGGCGGCTGACATTTGGTAGCTTGATGTACTTGTAAGGCTATAATTTAGCTTGAAGGTCGTTAATCGCTAGAAATTCTATTCGAGTTTTTACTCGGAGCAAAATGAATGAGCTAAAACCATGAATCAATTTTTTCAAGCTAATTTCGAGTCAATCATAGCTTGACTCGAACTGGCACGAGATCGGCTTGAAAACTTTTCTTCTTATTTATGATTTTTTTATACATATAAAAATTTATTTAATATAACATTAAATAAAATTTTAGAATGCATATGTGATCGAATTTTTTTTTAAATTTATTTTTATTCATTAATTTGAAGTTGGCTCCTTTGAAACAAGTCAACTCACTTTAATTTTTAAGCTATTACAGATTCAAACAACTTCATTCAGGCAAATTCATTTCAATTTCAAGCCATATTGAACTTGATTCAATTTTAGGCTGAGTTGGCTTGAAATTAAATACAACAGGCCACATGAAAATTTTGAGCGTCATTCAAAAACATTGAGCTAATTTTGAGCCAACCCTAGCCCTGTTTGAAATTGAATTGTTCATAGCCCTTCGTATTGGGTTGCTTCAGATGAAATAAAGGGCATTATGTTTCATTTTGGCCCAATAGAGGTTCCCCAGGAGCCAATAAAGCATTATTTTTATGCCTCTATAGTCTCCAATGACATTGTTTTGGTATTGTTGACCAAAGAGAGTTTTGAAGGCAAATGTGTAGCCACCAATTTTTTCCCATTTTTAGGAGTAGATTCTCTCCATAGACATAAGTGGGATATAGATCTTTTTTGACCTAAAAGTTTTTGATACTTTGCTAGAGCTTATTATTATAGGTTGTCTCTTTGAAATGTTAATGAAGCAAAGTGGAGACTGGTGCTGAAATAATCGACATGATCTAGACAATAGTTTGAGATTAAGTAATATGGGATAATGCATCAGTAGTTGTTGCCTCCAAGTTTGTATTTAATTTTATATACATAGCCGAGCAACTTAGTAAAAAATGTTGTTGCTCTACCGCTTAAACCACTTGAATCACGAGTTCCCGAATGCTAGGTTGATCTATCTGATTGTGAGGACCACCCCTAACAAATATTGCCTCAAATCAACAATGGTGTCAGTTAATAGCAAAAGGTTCCCAAATGTAGTTCAATCTTAGCTGCGTGTGGAGAAATTTTCTTACAGTAGAATGTGATTGGCTTGCCATTTTGAGTAAAAATCATGCCAATTCCTAGCCTTGGCATAGGTAGTATGGTCTACGAAAGCTTTCATGGGGTCCAAATCATTGTGGATTAGTAGGGCAAATAGTTTACCATTGCAAATGCAGTTACAGAAAAACTGTTCGCCACAATTATAACATAATCCTTTTCACATTTCTCCACTATATCACTTGGCATCAATTTCTTCAAAGGGAGTAAAGCATTAGGATTGGTCATTTTTGGTGTGGGAAGAAGACCTAAAAGTTTCTAGTGATAATGGTTGGATTGCAAGTGTATGTGTTGAGGTGAGAAGGGGTTTCTATTCATGGATTTTATCATAAACAAGTTTAGCAAGCTCAATAGTTTGATCAAGGGAGGAGGGGCAATGGAAGGGAGCCTCTTTGTACTCTTTGTAAATTAGTGGTTTTCAACAGGATTAAAAGTAGCTTTGATGAAAGTGTCCATCGACGCTAGTGTTTTAAATGAACAATGATTGAAACCATTTTTTACAAGTCCATCCATATGAAATGACGCATGGGTGAGATCATCCTGGCTAGTTCCCAAAGCTATTTTCTATGATGGTGATGCATTCACCCATTTTAACTACTCAAGTACCATCGATAATCCTTAGATGCGAAGTAGTGGGGAAAAGAAGAGGCAAGGGAGCTTTGACAAAGAAGAACATGGTGGATAAGGGAAATATCAAAAAGAAGGAAGGTATATGCTTTTTCAATAGGTTTTCATCAACTATTACTATCAATAGAACCTGCCCTTGTAATCATTATTTTTAATACATCATTACATATGCCCCCTGACAAAATAATTACCATGATTATCAATCGACTAGAAAGATGACAATTATCCTAGGCAAAAACAACATTGCATAAAGTAGGGACAGCATGCTTTATTATTCATCCAACCATCTCCATCATATGCTTGTTATCCTAAAATGAAGGTTTTAGAATTATATAGTTTTGCTAAAAAAGATACAAAGAAGATGTTTGATTCTTTAAATTAAACAGCGCAAATTAAAAAACTGTGTAATGAAGAAAACAAGGCCATATGCTAGAATTTGATCCCTTTTTCATAAAAATTAATTCAAGAAATGCAAAGTAAACATTACAAAAATTCCATAACATTTAAAAAGCTTTAATTTGAATAGCTTAGTCATGCCTTCTTTACCTGGTTTTTGGGTTCCAATTTCCCTCTGGAGTAACCAACTATCTTGGGTGAACCAATGTCATTCTCATTTCCATTTACTTTCCAACCAGAAGCATGACCTTTAGCTCCTGAACTCTTCCCGTTGCTTCCCAAAACACCTTGCAAGTACCTAGAAGCCACCGCTGTTTTCTCCTCCTTAATAACCACTCTCTTCCTCTGGCTTTCATCATTCCGCTCAACCAACTCAGTCAGCTTGAGATTCACTTTTTGAGCTGATAATAAACTCTTTGAAATATCAGAAGGCACTGTCATTTGCATCAGATCCTTAGGGTTTCCTATGCACGGATTCCTCCCCGGCAGCGGTCTAACCCCAACTAAAACAGGAACCGGAGTTCCAGACTCCACTTTTTTGACATAAACAAATTGGCCGAGTTGCAATTTATTTGTTAAGATAAGCTCATTGTCATCCTTGGACAAAGAAACATAAGTGGAATGAGAAGAATCTGAAACCTTGATGAAGAAGCCATGATCTGGCCATAACTCCGAGCCAGTGATGGCCGGCACAATGCTGATTACCTGCAGCAGAATTGATCTATGTTCTCCACATATCTTAACATCAGAATTCATGTGCTTAAGTAGTTTGATTAGTACTCCGGGTGTAAGAGAAGCCATTTTGTCTCCTTTTCGTTTGTTTACCTTTGCTCAACTAAAGGCAAGATGAACAGAATTCCAGTAGGTATACTAAATGAATTTAAATAAGATAGATAAAAACAAATGTATTGAACCCATTTTGTAAGATTATTACTGATGCATAAGATAACTAATAAGAGTCAAAGTCACGAATTAAAAGCCATCACCTATAAATCACATTATTTTGGCTAAGGAGACCATTATATACACGAAGACAAAGCTAGTTGAAATTATCAATATTCCAAAGATATAGGTGAAGGACTCGGCTCTAGATTTTCCAATATGCCTAAAATAGGGGAGACAGATGTCTCTTTCTTCCCATTTCTAAAAATCCAAGCCAAAAGCGGTGTATGTATACAATAATTTTTCCAAAAGCAGAGGGTAAGAAACAAAAGCAATGAGAAATGAACAAACCAATTCATATTGCCTGACCTAGAAAGTAGTAGAAGAACTTAAAACAAAAGCTAAAAGACAACAAAATGGCTTATGGTTGAGGTAAACCTAGAAGGGGTGAGAAATCGTTAGTTACAAGAAGACAATACATAAAAGAGCTATAGATTTGAACTTTCAAAGGCATTGGACTCATACGAATTAAAAATTCAACTTGAATGAAAAAGAACATTTTCATTCAGAAGTGAACATATGAACACAGAAGACAGGAAGAAGAAACTTAATAATCGGGAAGCATTACCTTCGAAGGGTGGAGGGGGCAATATGTTTAAGACCACTTCTTCTTCTTCTTCTTCTTCCTCTTCCTCTTCTTCTCATGGGAGGAAGTTGTTGAGCACATCGGGACGCCCGGCGGAAGGTAAGCACCGGCATCCCGTAACTTCGAAGCTACAAATCCAGAAAAGGTCAAGGATGGTCCCGCCGGCCGCCGATGGTAGGTGGGATGCGTATTTACTACCGTACTCCGCACATTTGGAGTTGGTTATTGTTACATACCACCCAATTCTTACTTAGCTCCGTAAACTATTTTTTATTATTTTATATCGCCCAAATTTTTATATGAAATTAAATCTCATCATTTTAATTTTTAAAGTGAAATATACTTTTTAATACAAATGAGAGGTGATGTATAACTAAAAATTAATGTTAAGGTGTTTGATATACAAATATGTAAGGATCGTGTGATATTTATGAAAATCTTTCTTAATCTAAACCGTAAATCCTAAACATATATACTGGTACACTGTCAATGAATTTCCAATATTCGACACTAATCTCAATGCATGACACTGATCTTGATACATATTTTGAGCAAAAAACGTTTAAAGTTTAATTAAAAGTCATTAAGAGTTCTGATTTCAACAAACTTATGGTCAGACTGGTCGAAACAATGAGATGGACCCAATGATAAGAAAATTTGTCAAATTTGAGTCAAATTAAGATCCTATCAAGACATCAAACCATATTTACAAGTTTTCCAAACACATTTGGATGGTCAAATGAATGTTGAATCCGACGAGTTAATGGTCTAATTAAGCGTATGGACAAGACAAATCCAATGAGCCAAAGATTACTCAATTTTGATATTATTAAATCTCTTAAATGTCCATCAAATGTTATTTGATCAAAAGACAATCTCTGGTCCATACAATCAAAATGCTTCATATTTATTCGTGAATTGCATCCGAAACTCTATAAATAAAACATCACCCCTCTCATGAGAGGAGAGGAGAGAGCTTGAGACTTGAAGCTTTAAAAAGGAGTTGGAGTCTAGCATCACTCATGACACTATCAACCACCTCCAACCGTCGCGACCGCTACCTACCAAATATCGTTGATCGCTATCAGTCACACGCATCACACACACACACACACACACACAATATATATATA